CTCCAAACCAACACATTTCATTACTTTAATAAGTAAATAAATTGATTGTGAATTTTGAGAATGTACTCAAGTTGGAGTCGGATGAGAATGTCAGCAAAGATAAAAGTTCGTTGTGTCATTGACTTAACGGTGTGTGTCGCGGTTCAGTGTGTGTCGCGGTCCAGTGTGTGTCGCGGTCCAGTGTGTGTCGCGGTTCAGTGTGTGTCGCGGTTCAGTGTGTGTCGAGGTCCAGTGTGTGTCGTGGTCTAGTGTGGCTTGATCCATTGTGTGTCGGGGTCCAGTGTGTGTCGGGGTGCAGTGTGTGTCGCGGTTCAGTGTGTGGCGTGGTCCAGCGTGTGGCGTGATCCAGTGTGTGTCGGGGTCCAGTGTGTCGCGTTCCGGTGTGTGTTGGGGTCCAGTGTGGACATGGTCCAGTGTGTGTCGTGGTCCACTGTGTGTCATATTCAAGTGTGTCGTATTCAAGTGTGTCGGGGTCCAGTGTGGACATGGCCCAGTGTGTGTCGTGGTCCAATGAATAATTGTAGCTTTAAAAAAAAAACATCATACGAGTTCTTATGCTTGAAACGAAGGGAAGATTTAGAAATCAGAAGTTGATAGCTGAATTGGCGCACTGCTGCTGTGATAAGATCAATCGACCGATTAAATACAAGTGAATTGATACGACCAAGGGTAATTTGAATATGTGAACAATTGGTTCAATACGACAACATTGAATTGAATTCGAACATGTGTTCTAGAGACAAAGACGAAAAAAAGTAAAAAAATCCATGATTTTTAAAAAAAATATATACGGAGAAAAGTCGAATTAAATAAATCATATTTGACCTGTCATTGATGATTGACCCCCGCCCTCCCCCCGCCCCACACACATATCCGTGTCAGTGATGATGACCCCCACACCCCATCCACACCGTGTCAACGGTTGATCAGCTCCTCACACCCCACCCACATCGTTTCAACGGTTGATCAGCTCCTCACACCCCACCCACACCGTGTCAACGAATGATAAGCCCCATTAGTAAGATCTCCTTCTCGACCTAACCAATAAATCAATAGACGGCCATCGTGTTACAAACAAGTGGGAGGACAAGGGACTCTGTGCCGGTCATTCCTTCACGTTTTACATCAAGTCTGATGAGTCTTTCATCTTGTTTCTTATTGATGTAGGTGCAGCTGGCACCGTGGCATTCTTTTCATAACGGCACTGTTGACATTTCATCATTATTTACTTGCGTTATTTATATATGACGTGGAGGACGAACGTTTGCCATTTAGGTTGTTGACCTATTTTCGGATTGCCCGTTCATGTGCATTAAATGAATAATAATATTTCAAAAATTAGCAAATTCCAACTTTCTACTTCTTCATGTTTTCTTCTGTTCTACTTCTTCATGTTTTCTTCTGTTCTACTTCTTCATGTTTTCTTCTGTTCTACTTCTTCATGTTTTCTTCTGTTCTACTTCTTCATGTTTTCTTCTGTTCTACTTCTTCATGTTTTCTTCTGTTCTACTTCTTCATGTTTTCTTCTGTTCTACTTCTTCATGTTTTCTTCTGTTCTACTTCTTCATGTTTTCTTCTGTTCTACTTCTTCATGTTTTCTTCTGTTCTACTTCTTCATGTTTTCTTCTGTCTTCCGAGGAAAGCTCTTAGCCGAAGCGGGTTTCTTTTATTTGTAATGTCTATTTGAAGCTTCCACACACCTTGTTCTTGTATTTCCTTCACACCGCTTGAACGCAGTCTTTCCTTGATTAAGCCCATGGTTAGCGTCTTTCCTATTAAACATGTGTAGAACCGGGTTGACTAATGGTCAGTGGACAAGGCCTGGACATTCCAAGCCGATAAGTCACGTGATTGTTTTTGTTTTTTCTTCTTTTTTTCCATGCTGGATTAAAAAGAGAACATGTGAAAATAATCGAATGATGGCTTTGGTTATATAAACTTTTTGATATGATCAAACTATGATAAAAGTAACACTGTTTGGTATAATATATGATAAGGTATAAATTGCTGGATGGTATATATGATAATGTATAATCTGTTTGATGGTATAGTGCAGCGGTTCTCCGTGGGTCGCGACCCTTGGGGGTCGCGGGACCCTTTTCCAGGGGTCGCCTAAGACCATCTGAAAACACTTATCCTTACAGCTATGAAGTAGCAACGAAATTAATTGTGTGGCTGGGGGGTCGCCACGACACGAGAAACTGTATTAAAGGGTCGCGGCACTAGAAAGGTTGAGAACCACTGGTATAGTATATAATAATGTATAAACTATTGGATGGTATGATGATATATAAACTGTTTGATGGTATAATATATGATAATATATAAACTGTTGGATGGTATATATGATAATGAATAAAAGTGTTGGGTTGCATCTATGATAATGTTTATCTTTATCTCCATTATCTACAAACAACATCATTAAAAGGCTCTGTGGTGGAACAAGATTGCCTGAGTCGTACCTCTGGCAATATCCTATCAAGGGCTGAGCCGGGTACCCGGAAATGCCGAGTAATTGCCCATCAGCAATACCCGGGCCCTCAAAAAAAAACGGAACAGATGACGTGTGCTTAAAAAAAGATTATTCTCTCATGTTCTATAATGTAGAAAGCCAGACTTTCTCCCAATGGCGAGAAATGAACAGTGCATGTATAGAACCAGTAGATCTTTTTAAACATAATTTGTGTGCATATTGGACCTGAATGAAAGAAATAATAAATAGAAACCAGACTAGCGATTGGAACGAAACTAAATATAAGAAATAACATAAAGCTTTGAAAAAAATAATGTACTTTCGAATTTTGTGTAATTATGTTGTGAAGACTTAGAATGACAGGACCAATACACTTTGATCTACGCAAAGCAAGAAAGAAAAACAACAACACACACTCCGCTGCCTCCCCTTTACTCAACACCTTTTTATCAATTTCAAGGTATAATTCTGGTTGTGGGTGGTATAATTCTGGTTGTGGGTCGCCACAACTTGGCAGTTGGTATAAAGGGGCTCCCGGCACTAAAATGGCTGGAGAACCGTTGGGGTTAGGATCATACTATTATTAAAATGTTCGTGTTCTGAGTGAGCCCTTCAAAATTGACCGTGATCGCTACTGGCTCTATGCATGCATTTTTCATTTCTCCTTATTGGATGGAGCACATTATTGAAATGAGAAGTAACACCCGGACTCGGACCCGCCGGGTATTTCCTCAAGAATACCCGGAACCTATCCGAGTGTTAAAAAAAACCTGCCCCCGGTTCAATCATATAATTTAAAAAATAACGTACATATATAATTTAAAAAATAACGTACATGTTTAGCCTCTAATCTCGGGGTACGTTGTAAGATTGGATACGTCGACACGAGGCGTGATAAGATAACATATGAGGCGAACAATGCGATCAGCAGTTTGTAGTTGCGGTGTGGCACACGGCAGTGACACAATGACACCGAGGTTGATGGATGCGATGCTGCGGGTGGTAAGTAGGATTTGGAACTATTCGGAAGCAGTCCAATGGATGCTATTTAACTGGGGGGGGGGGGAATTCTACGTCACATAGGAGATCAACACGAGTGGCCGACGGTGCTGAACTACGAGAGTTCACACCTGAAAGGCACTTCATGTTTTAGATACATACGGTGACCTATTCACTAGTGAGCTCAGTAATAAAGAACTCGATCAAATCACTGACTGACCTTCTACATGTTCACATTTTTTACAATGGTTTCTTGTTTTTGTTGTTTTTTCTACTTTCCCATTTAAAAAAATGAACTTGGTAGGTCGATAAAGTTTATTTTATAAAAGATACGTCAAATAGTTCACATTGTTATGAAGCATGGGCCGATTAATGTTTTGAACAAACTTCCGTCATCAGTCCAAATTTCTTTCGTACAAGTTTCCGGAATACGTTTTTTGAAGCCCATCTGGTCCGACCAAAATATGAGATCGGCCTATCTCAGGGTTCACGCATCTATTTGGAACAGCAGGGTTAGACCAGTTGATGCTGTGTGTTGGACGTCAGGGTAATGCCTCTAAAGCATGACGTCAGTTGATGCTGTGTGTTGGACGTCAGGGTAATGCCTCTAAAGCATGACGTCAGTTGATGCTGTGTGTTGGACGTCAGGGTAATGCCTCTAAAGCATGACGTCAGTTGATGCAATATGCTGAATGTCAAAATACTCTCCTATGAATTGCACTCGCTGTCTAACATTGCTGGTTGATCTTGACCTACTATGTGTTCAGAGACCTTAAACTCCTCTTTGCAAACAACATCAAACATCACATACACCCCCCCCCCAAAAAAAAAAAAAAAAATAAAAAAAAAATAAAAAAAGAAAAAAGGCTGACATACGGGCAAAGTTATGTTTGGATTGAGTATGGGTCAATGGAACAATCGTTAGATCTGAACATACATGACTATGATGTAGCTTCCACCCCCCACCAACCCCCAACACCCTCATAGCTTAGTGACACAACTGCTCACTTCCCATGTAGACAGACAGTCCTCATTCCTGTGTATAACCTCATCAATATTGGCTGGAAGATTCAATCAAACCTGTTTTGTTTTTTTGTTCTTCCCCCTCAGGTACACACCAACGCTACACAAGAGCCCCAGTACCAGGTGTGATAGACAAGCAGGTCTTGTTCTTGGCTGAGCAGAGTTTCTTGGTGCTGGATTAATTCGATGTGTTACTTGTGACCTTTACCCCTGACTTTACCTTGGATTTCACCGGAGGCATTGGGGGCTGGATTCAATTTCTGAGAATTTGACAAGACACTGTCGCTGTTTTGATGTGTCACTGTTTTGATGTGTCAGTGTATGTGATTCTATTCATTGTGCACATTCTGGGATGATATGCTGCACCACTTGTTATAAATATCCGTTGGATTATCTTTGGATTGTATTGTGACAGAATCTGTGACAGGGGATCTGGGGGGATCCAGGAGTACTGAGAACCCTTTGTGGAGCCAACTGTCATCATTCTAGTGACCATCGGGGAGCCCGAGGGCTCAGCTCCGAGGTTCCAGTCAGGATAGTATGTGTTGGAGTAGGTAGCAGATAGGACAATGGCAGAGCTGTTGTCTGTACAGGTCAGTAGGAGATTTTGTAACTTAAAATAATTAATTTACCCCTCTTTATAATTACTGCTGCCCCCACCCATCTGACACACCCCAAAATATAAATGTGTGTGTGCCTTCATGGGCCCAGGTTTGGGGTTGTGCCAACAAATTAAGTAATATAGGTCATGTCCATGGGGCAATTATACAAGAAATTATTTTGTTATTATCTCCCCATGAAGCAGGTCCTGAGATAAGCTATAATTTATATATTAAGGAATTTAAAAAAAAAAAATATATATATATATATATATATATATTTGCATTCCTTGATTTGAGGGTGTAAAAACTTGTTCATTATGACTTGGGAAAAATTCTATCGCTAGCATGTGCCCTAAGCCCTTTTTTTTTTTTCTTCTTTCTATTTTCCAACCACTGTTTCAAACGGTTTTAAACCAAAAAATAACTTTATCTCTCATTCAAACCCTTGGTTTCAAACATTGCACAATATTTTTTAATTACTTCTGAATCATCTGTTGACTGCCAAGTCCAGTGTTAATTGCACACAGATTCTCTACCTCACATGATCGGATGTTAATTTGCAGTGCTTAGTCTCATATGGTCATCATTTAAAAGCATTAAATTAATTGTCTGTTTGTATAAGTTTGTTTCTTTTTTAACTTTAAAATAAATTTCATTTTAGAGGACATGCACACACGCACCAATAATTCACTCAGTCATGCAATGAACTTGTTTTTTAGGAATAATTAATGAAATGGCCTTCAGAAACTCAAGACATTTTAAAACTAAATAATGAATTAGGATTTCTAAAAAATCAGACTGCCTTTGAGACAAAAATAGAATAAATAATATTGCTGTGGTAATATTGCTTTGGTAATCATGCGGTAATAAACATGCTGTAATAATCTGATAAATACAACAAAAGCTTTACTTTAATTAAGAGGGAAAAAAGGAATTTGGGTGATTTTTTTCTTTTTTAGTCTCTTTGTAAAAAGTCTCGTTCTAAAGAGTTTTAAAGCCTGTATGAGCAATATGAGTCTTTCTGATTACAGGTTCAGATCCCTAGTCATCTGGGGCGGTATCTCAGACCAGAGACCAAGAAGCTTCTGCCTGACAATGGCACCAAGGAGAAAGGTCACTGCTCTCACCTGACAAAACACAAGCCTGTGGACATCAAGTTCAACAACTTGGGTTACTTTGTTAAAGATGGACACAGCAGGAAAAGTAGCTCTTTTTTTAATACTCATTTTCAATTATTTTCTGTCTAGATTCATTAGTTTGAGGAGTTAGTGTCTGTCTAGATTCATTAGTTTGAGGAGTTAGTGTCTGTCTAGATTCATTAGTTTGAGGAGTTAGTGTCTGTCTAGATTCATTAGTTTGAGGAGTTAGTGTCTGTCTAGATTCATTAGTTTGAGGAGTTAGTGTCTGTCTAGATTCATTAGTTTGAGGAGTTAGTGTCTGTCTAGATTCATTAGTTTGAGGAGTTAGTGTCTGTCTAGATTCATTAGTTTGAGGAGTTAGTGTCTGTCTAGATTCATTAGTTTGAGGAGTTAGTGTCTGTCTAGATTCATTAGTTTGAGGAGTTAGTGTCTGTCTAGATTCATTAGTTTGAGGAGTTAGTGTCTGTCTAGATTCATATTTTTTTGTTTTTGAGGGGAGTTGTTTTTTGTCTGTCTATATCCAGTGGCTTGAGGAGCCAATAATACAAATTAATGTTTGAAAAATCACCTTATTTAAAATAAATTCTTCTGCTGATGTGGGACATTGAATCTTCAAGGCACTACTACCATCATGGGCGTCCACAGAATGGGACGCCCACACTTTTGGGGCATCCACTCATGGAGCATCCACACATTTATAGGGATGAGCAAATGGGAACTTTTTTTGTAAATAAAAATGTTAATATCATTTTAAATACCACTGCAAATATCATTGTTAATATCATTTTAAATAACATTGTAAATATCATTGTTTATATCATTTTAAATACCATTGTAAATATCATTGTAAATATCATTGTAAATATCATTGTAAATACCATTGTAAATACCATTGTAAATATCATTGTAAATATCATTGTAAATATCATTGTAAATATCATTGTAAATATCATTGTAAATATCATTGTAAATATCATTGTAAATATCATTGTAAATACCATTGTAAATATCATTGTAAAAACCATGGTAAATATCGTTCACTGAAAATGTAAGATTAAATAAGACTAAAGGCATGAAAATTGTAACCAAGGCACAAAATCCAGAGGGATTACATTCACCAACTTTATTCTCTGCCCATGGGTGCTCATGTCCCAATCCATATGTTTTGTCTTACACAAACCTTTTCTGAGGCATGTTATTCACACATTTCCGACCTCTTCCATTATAGTTCCTTCTTTATGCTGGGGGGAAAGGCTCTGCTGAAGAGAGATTTATCTTCATTAAAGTCAAACCCTGGCTCCTGTCTTTTAATCTTTTCAGCTTCACCACCGTCCAAACCTGTTCTAAATTTAGCATTAGGGAAATGACCTCTTCACCCTTGTACTTATCTTTAAATGTATCAAGCAGGAAATAATAAGCCTGCTTCGTTTCTTGTAACGGGAGATCTTCATACCCTTTTGCTCATGAAATTGTTACCAACCAACCAAGAGATTTAACTTGGTCATTCATGATTCTGTTGTGGCAACAGTCAAACATTGATTCTTGATCTATTCTGATTGTAGTTTTTAACATATTCTAAGTCAAGGCCGGCTTCCCAGTACCAAAAAGTAATCCCATGTAATGAGAAACATTATTAATGAAGCAAGGTCCCATGGACATTCAAACCAATGTTGAAGGAAAGGATTCAAATGAAAACTTCCAGTAAGAGAAAATAAAACAGAACACTCCCACTTTGGAAGAAAAAGAAAAGATCTATTTAGTCGTGCTTATCCAGGGATGAACAGCCCTAATTATTTTAAGTAATTGTAGAGTCCTTTGTGTCATGACATAACTGGGCTGAGTGTGGTGTTAAAAGAGCCACAACTGGCTAAAGACATAAGGAGACAGGTGAAATGAGAATGTATCGGATTTTAATTGGCTGCTGGTCTGTAAACTTTTATATTTGGTACTGGACATCTTATATTGAAAAGTGTTTTTGTGTGGCTCACTAAATCATGTTTGTCTATCATTGATCTTTGATGAAGCAGGCCTATTAGTTAATGCTAGCCCTACTATAATTGGATATCACTTCATTGAACCTTGAATACTTCTAGTGGACAAATATCAGTTGTATATTCAATCTTTTGCTTGCTTTTATTTGAGTCAAATAAATTTGCTGCAAATAACTTTATAATAAGAAGCCTTACCCAAATATGTCATATTTTTTGTTTTTTTATCAAGCATAAGTCTGACCCTTCAAATGGCTTAACTCTGGGTAAATTATAAAATGTCCAAATACAATGTGGACAATGTGCTGCCTTCATGAGGCCATCCACCTTGAACTTAATTGTTCCATAAACAGGTTCATGGTGTGAAAAAATTTTGGTACCAAACACAATTTCTAATAGTATCCTGTAAAAGCAATAAAAATAGTATTTTAACAAGAACAATAGATTTCTAGTTTACAAAGAAAAATGTGGAAATAGCGCAGGAATAGCTTAAAATGTTTCCAGCATCACTTTCAAATCTGTTTCATTATTAAGTAGTCTTCTTTAAACCTCTTGAGATGGATGGGGCAGTCAATCGACCCAAATAATAAAAGCTGGCTGGTCTTCATACCAGCTAATCAAATTGCGTCTCACATTTCTTGCTCATCTCTCCGTTTTAATGTTGGCTTCCATTGATATTTTACGGTGTTCTATCATTTTGTATTAAAAATTTGAAACTAGTGACCCCCATTAAATGCTAGAAAAATATTTGACCTTGAATTATGGCAAAAGGCATAAGCAGCCTATGGGAATATATTTATGCAGATTTTCCACATTGAATCTCCTTTAAATGATTGTTAGGACTTATTTAGGCTTCAGCAATCATAACATTTAACAAAGGTCTGCAAATAAGACATTTTATTCAAAGAGTTTTTTTAAAAAGATGCATAAATTATGCAAATCAGGCTCTCATTTGCATACATTTTGAGATTTCAGTTTGTTTAATAAAGATCACATTATTTCATTTAATTCCCTCCAATAATATATATAAATATATTATATTTTTTAAGAAATTAGTTAATTTTTTATAATTTATTTTGTGAATTAAGTGCAGGACTTGCGAAAGGGCTCCGTCATCTTGGCACAGACAGTTGGCAAAGGCTCTGTCTCAAGAGGTTTAAAATATTCTCTCTGCACTGTGAGACAATGATCTTCTTGTTCTGTCCAATAGGTCACAAGCTGATTCTGAAGAATATATCAGGGAGGTTTGTGTCGGGTGAGCTGACAGCCATCATGGGACCGTCTGGTGCAGGCAAATCTTCCCTGATGAACATCCTGGCAGGTTACAGGTACCCCACCGCTTTCCTTCCCACTGACATCCTCTAGAACTTTAACCAAGAAAGGGCTTCATTAAAGACCCAATGCCTAGGGCTTAAACTCAAAATCATTGCTTCTAGACCTGTGCAGTATGAATGAAGAATGTATAACGGAAAAAAAGTCATTAAAAAAAAAAGTTTTATTTACATAAATAAATATGAATAATTATAAATGAAATTTTAAAAATTCCGTCAGTGTGGGAATAGTAAAACCACAAAACAAGTTGTGTTAATAGGCATTTGAATAAATAACAGGAAAGTCTTCCTTCGTTTTGATAATATATAATATTTTGAATATTAACAAAACAGCACAAATAAGGCTTACAGTATTTTATTTTTTCTACTCTTCAAGATGTTTTTAAATGATCAAACTCGGCTCTTGAAATCAATATATGTTGTTAAAAAAAAGTTATTTTCTCTACTATTTCAAACATATTGATAATGGAGAGAAAAACAAATCTTTATGGATGTACTACACAGATATTTGTTTTATCAGCAATGAGTTTAAATAGTCATTTGTGAACTAACAGCTTGATAGCACAAAAAAATGGAAGTCCCTTTGTTTTAGAGAAGTTCTGTTCTTGTGGGTTTCAAATGGTCATGACAAATCTTTTGTTTGATTTTTTCTAGAACGAAGAATGTGACCGGTACACTGCTGGTGAGGAACCGCGAGCGGGACTTGCGTTCCTTCCGCAAGATGTCCTGCTACATCATGCAAGACGACGAGCTGCTCCCACACCTTACTGTTGAGGAGGCCATGATGTGCTCGGCCAACCTCAAGCTGGACGAGAAGTTATCCCCGCAAGCAAAGCAGGAGATGGTAAGTCCAACGCAGACAACTCCCCAAGACAATTAATTCTTGTAATATGGGGAGGACTGCCGTCAGGTTGAAGCAAATAGGAATAATAAAAAGTCAGGCAGAGTTTTCCCCATCCCTGTACTTTATCAAAAGCAGGAGATGGTACGTCCAACATAACTCGGGGGATTTGGCACTGACACAATATTTTTTTATAGATTTTCATGTGGGCTACAAATATGGAATCAGACATTTGTTCAGTGATCCCTTATCCCTGCTTTCATGTGGGTTTTTGTATCTTATTGCCTTGGTGTCATCTAGCCCACCAATGTCATCTAGCCCACCAGTGTCATCTAGCCCACCAGTGTCATCTAGCCCACCAGTGTCATCTAGCCCACCAATGTCATCTAGCCCACCAGTGTCGTCTAGCCCACCAATGTCATCTAGCCCACCAATGTCATCTAGCCCACCAATGTCATCTAGCCCACCAATGTCATCTAGCCCACCAATGTTGTTTAGCCCACCAATGCCATCTAGCCCACCAGTGTCATCTAGCCCACCAGTGTCGTCTAGCCCACCTATGCCGTCTAGCCCACCTGTGTCATCTAGCCCACCTGTGTCGTCTAGCCCACCAGTGTCGTCTAGCCCACCAGTGTCATCTAGCCCACCAATGTCGTCTAGCCCACCAGTGTCATCTAGCCCACCAGTGTCATCTAGCCCACCAATGTCATCTAGCCCACCAGTGTCATCTAGCCCACCAATGTCATCTAGCCCACCTACGTCATCTTACCCACCTACATCATCTAGCCCACCAATGTCATCTAGCCCACCTATGTCGTCTAGCCCACCTATGTCATCTTGCCCACCAATGTCGTCTAGCCCACCAGAGATTGCTTACTTGATTCAACTCTGTTTACTATGGTACTGGTTTGTTAAATGGCACTGGTTTGTTAAATGGCACTGGTTTGTTAAATGGCACTGGTTTGTTAAATGGCACTGGTTTGTTAAATGGCACTGGTTTGTTAAATGGCACTGGTTTGTTAAATGGCACTGGTTTGTTAAATGGCACTGGTTCGCTCAAAGTTTTAGTTTAAAAACCTGATGATTTATGTCCCACTAGTCTTTTTAAAAACTAAATATCAAATGATAAACTCAAATAGATTTCTAGTTACTTTGTGCATATTCAGTTGGATTAACAAGAACAATAGATTTCTAGTTACTTTGTGCATATTCAGTTGGATTAACAAGAACAATACTGAAGATTTGAAGGATGATATAAACATTGTTTAATTTCACTAAAACTGTCCCGACCCAGTTAAGGTACGAGGTCTCTATCCTCTATCGGACAGTGATGCAGCAAATAGTGTCAAGCCCACATGACAAAATGTCATTCACTTGACCTTTGCTTTGACCAGTGATCTAATTTTACTCAAGTGTTGTTTTGAGAGCCCCTTTTCATAGTAGGCCCAACTTGTAGTTTCACTCATCAAAATCATATATTTTTTTTTAAAGTACAAGAAGTAATTCTGAAGATGTTTCAAGTCTTGCCATATATTATTAATTTGGAGGGGGGCTTTGATGTTGTCACCCACCTGTTAGCCAAATCCCATCATTGAGCTGAGCAACATTTCAAGCATCTTTCCACTTCAGAATTCATAAAATAGTCCTTTAAAAATGTTTGGTGTTACTATTAGAAATTTCAATGTTTAACACCACCCCCCCCCCCCCCCCCCCCCCCCTTTTTTACAGGTTGATGAGATTCTGGACACACTGAGTTTAAATGAGGCCAAGAGGACCAGAACCTCCAACTTATCCGGTGGGCAGAGAAAGAGGTTGTCCATCGCCCTGGAGCTGGTCAACAACCCGCCAATAATGTTTTTTGACGAGCCCACCAGTGGTCTGGACAGTGCCTCGTGTTTCCAGTGTGTGTCGCTCCTGAAGAAATTGGCCGAGGGCGGCAGAACTATCATTTGTACCATACATCAGCCGAGTGCCAAACTGTTTGAAATGTTCAATCATGTAAGTAGAACTGTCACCTGTAGTTTACATCGGCAGAGGGCCAACTATGTATCCTACATGTCATATCAGGTCATGACAGAGCAGCTCAAATTCATTACGTCACATAAGTATGTTAGTGTAACATTACAATAAACAGCAGGGCTGCTTGTGTTTACCTTTTCTCTGTGGCTACATCAATCACCAGGCAACTCACTTCCTTGGTTTTGAGCGGCTACATGTTATTGTCCCTAAAATGTTGCACAGTGTACGTGTGACGTTAGGATGTGTTGTTTCAGCACATGGGGTATTAGGCCACTTTTTATTGTTGAGGAGGAAGGCGATGCTCTTACCTTCACCCAGGAACACTACAGGGGAACTGGGAATCGAAACTTTTCCCTCGGGATTTGAGAAGGTTGTGTTGTGCAGGGGACCTTCACATGAACAGAATGTGGTATCAGTGGCAGGATGGGGCATGCAGACATACTGCTCGAGAATCTTTTGCCTTGCTGCAGAGAAATTTTCCTGGACGAAACATTTAACTTGGTACTGAATTTCGCCTCACCCCCCTGATCTTACGCTACTTGATGCCTACTTAATGCCTACTTGATGCCTACTTGTGGGGAATGTTAATGTGTATAACAGTGAAGATTCACCATTCCGCAAGAAGATAGTCTCCTTTTGCCGGAGTCTTCAGCAACCATTGTTCAATGATATGTTTGAAAATCTACGTGAAAGATAAGAACACAGTCCACAGCGAGGCAGTGAACACTTTGAACATTTAGGTTACGCACACTGTGGTAAATCCACTCGCTCATAGTGTGTATGTTAGTTTGTTTCCAGAGAGGACAACAATGAAATATTGTTTGTCGTTTCTTTTCAGTACTGTTACTTTTGGGCCATGCTGTATTTTGCTATATTTTACATACTTTGTACATGTCCCTAAGATAATTTGTTTTATAACACAATTGAACTATGTTTTTGTTCTCTATTGTCCAGCTGTATCTCCTGGTGTATCTACTGTACCACAATATGTTGTTGTTCTCTATTGTCCAGCTGTATCTCCTGGTGGACGGTCAGTGTATCTACTGTACCACAATATGTTGTTCTCTATTGTCCAGCTGTGTCTCCTGGTAGACGGCCAGTGTATCTACTGTACCACAATATGTTGTTCTTTATTGTGTAGCTGTATCTCATGGTGGACGGCCAGTGTATCTACTGTACCACAATATGTTGTTCTCTATTGTCCAGCTGTGTCTCCTGATGGACGGCCAGTGTATCTACTGTACCAAAATATGTTGTTGTTCTCTATTGTCCAGCTGTATCTCCTGGTGGACGGCCAGTGTATCTACTGTACCACAATATGTTGTTGTTCTCTATTGTCTATTGTCTAGCTGTATCTCCTGGTGGACGGCCAGTGTATCTACTGTACCACAATATGTTGTTCTTTATTGTCTAGTGTATCTCCTGGTGGACGGCCAGTGTATCTACTGTACCACAATATGTTGTTCTCTAAAGTTTCTAGCTGTATCTCCTGGTGGACCGCCAGTGTATCTACTGTACCACAATATGTTGTTCTCTATTGTCTAGCTGTATCTCCTGGTGGACGGCCAATGCATCTACCGTGGTACCATCAGAGCACTGCTGCCATATTTCAAAGAACAAGGACTTGTCTGTCCCAACTACCACAACCCTGCTGATTACAGTAAGTTGGAACCTTGAAAACCTAACCCCTGGGGTCCTCAAACTGTTGCCCGTGGGCCAGATCCAGCCCGCCGGGGTCATTATTCTGACCGCCTGGCTGCCCTAAAAGTACCTGGCTAGCAGGAAAAAAATAATACGGAACCGAACATTGATCATCTCATTAGACAAAAGCAGTCCCCTACTTTTCATTCAAACTTAAGTTTACATTGGATACATTTTTTCTTCATTTTAAATATGTTATTGTATTTTCAAGGTTTTTTTTTCCTTACGCGCAGTGTGCAAAGGATTTGTATTTTTAAAAATTATTGTCCATCTCCTGACAGTGTCTGAGGACACTGATCCCGACCCATTTTAGAAAAAATTTTGAGGACCCCTAACTTAACCTCTTGGACACCTAAGAAAAATCTGTTAATTTTTATATTCAACTTTAATCTCAAAAAATATATTTATTTCATTATTGAAGGATGTGTGCTAGGCTAGTTGTATCTTCCTGTATGTAGGTGCATGAAACTTGAGGTTTGAAGAACTTATTAAGACCCAGTTTTTGGTACAATTCTGCCTATCACTACCCCCACCCCCGACCAATTGTTAAATTTCCCCAGACCATTCATAACCAAACCTGACCTGACCATTCGTAACCAAACCTGATTTGACCAATCATTACCAAACCTTAACTTACCATTCATTACCAAACTTTAACTGATCATTCATTACCAAACCTGATCTGACAATCATTACCAAACTTTAACTGACCATTCATTACCAAACCTGATCTAACCAATCATTACCAAACTTTGACTGACCATTCATTACGAAACCTTAACTTACCATTCATTACCAAACTTTAACTGATCATTCATTACCAAACCTGATCTGACCATTCATTACCAAACTTTAACTGACCATTCATTGCCAAACCTGATCTGACCATTCATTATGAAACTTCGCCTGACCATTCATTATCAAACCCGCCGGCATGACCATTCACTCACCAGACAAGTCACTCAACTGAACCATCCTCATAACTTCCATTAATTTTGATTAGTTTATTTTTCTATAATTTTCTCTTCAGTCATGGAGGTGGCAGCAGGTGAATATGGTGAGAAACATGTGCTCAAGTTGATAGAGGCACTCAACAGCGGCAAGTGTGACCCTTTCCAGGTCAGTTGGCAACAAAATAGATCTGTTCAATGGAAATCTTTGTCAAGTATAAATCACCAGATCTCATTTAAACTAGCTTTTCCTAATGAAGGCAACATGATCTTTAGATAGTTCTTATTGTACAACATGGGCTCGGTTACAGAAAAATTTGTTTGAAAGAAATTTCTTCGACTGAAAATTGATTGACAGAAATTTGATTACATGGAAATTTGGTTGACCATTATTTTGTTTTACAATATAGTATAGTGCGTTCAAAAGAAATTTTAACGTGTGAACTGAAAAAAAGATTCAACCAAATTTCTTTCAAACAAATTTCTGGATACGCATAGGCTCAATACTGGGCCATTTATTTTCCTTCCAATGTATACTTTTCAACTGGTTATAACAGTGTACTTAAGACTTTCTTAATTTAAAACAAACCCCATGTTAAAAGAAGTTTTTCCCCTCCAACTATTATCTTGTTTTTTGTTATTTTAAAAGCTTTAATCAATTTCACTTGCATACATGTATGAGACAATTATGAATTATTAGATATAATTGTAGTAGTAATAATTATTTTACAATTTGAGATATATTGAGACTTTTGAAATATGTTAGTATTTTTCTCCTCAGATGGACTACGACAGGCAGATGTCTGGCAGAGGTTCTCACACCCCATCAGTGCACTCCTGTGAGGATGAAACGGCCAACCATCAGGCCGCCACGCAGCTCAACAACACGGAGGGGGCCGCCCACCTGGGCGACAACACCTCCCTCAACTGCGGCGACCGCTGCGGTGACAGATACAACTACAGTGAAACCAAAACGACGGGGTGCCACCCGTCACCCACGGCCAGGACCAACGGGGCCTGTTTCCCACACTACAGAAACCAAGAAGTGAGTTTCTCCGCTACTGCTCTGGGAATGCTTGAGCAGGAGTTTTTTTTACCTAGCTGTGTTAGACCTCACCTATCAGTAATTTTCCTCAAGTTTTTATTTACAACTGCTTTCAGATTGAACAACTTTTAATATTTTATCACACCCTTTTTATTTTTAAAATTCTTTCACACTTATGCTATAGGAATGCCTTTCCTTATAAAAAAAAATTTCATTGGATTTACTATTGGATTAAACTATGATACCTAAGTTTTAAGACATATTATTTTAGTGCATTTCAAGATGTTCGTCAGAGGGGAAGATTCTGCATAGTTTTCTAGGTCCTTACATTGTTAGTAGAATATTATCTGTTAGATAGAAGCCAACATTGTTGTTTTATCAGCCATAAATCTTAACAGCATGTGTTTCGAAATCCCCGACTCTTGTTACTTTTAACGCTGCCAAGCAAGAAAGTTGGAGATTGAATTTTAGTCATTTCGAGGGGGGGGGGGGGGGGGGCTAGTCTCAACAAAAGCCAGATTTCTACCAGCAGTTTAATGGAGTTCTCCTACAAGATAGACCTTTAGAAGGTTTCTTCCAAAGCACGCTTTAGATCACATGGCATTCTACTTGGCATATAATAACTTTTATTGGGGATTTTATATTAGATCACATGGCATTCTACTTGGCATATAATAACTTTTATTGGGGATTTTATATTAGATCACATGGCATTCTACTTGGCATATAATAACTTTTATTGGGGATTTTATATTAGATCACATGGCATTCTACTTGGCATATAATAACTTTTATTGGGGATTTTATATTAGATCACATGGCATTCTACTTGGCATATAATAACTTTTATTGGGGATTTTATATTAGATCACATGGCATTCTACTTGGCATATAATAACTTTTATTGGGGATTTTATATTAGATCACATGGCATTCTACTTGGCATATAATAACTTTTATTGGGGATTTTATATTAGATCACATGGCATTCTACTTGGCATATAATAACTTTTATTGGGGATTTTATATTTTTAAAGCTGTTTTTAAATCTTGTATTTGAAAAAAGAAAACTTTTTATTTTTCAGTTGAATAAAATGTTCAAACATATATATAAATTATTCACAGTTAAAGGCTAAAAGCCAAGGTACCTGCAGTATCGGTTAATTCCCTCATAGTTTTGTTATATCTTTTTATAGTTATACATGTCATTATTTTCACCCTTTCACTGTTGATTTTGTCATGTCCCCCAACAGCCTGGAGTATCATGGGAGGTTAGTTAGTTGCCCTGCCCTTGTGTTGAGTGTCTTCATGTACACACAAACAGATCTATATGGGCTTTGATAACCGTCATGCTTTTAAACGTACTCGTTGCTGTAGTGTCATATAACGTCAGAGTCAGAACTTGTCTTTCAGTTGCTGCCTCATATTCATGTTCACACTCTGAATTCAGAGGTCACTCTAAGAAATTCTAAACAGTTTTTTGGGATAGGTCATCCGTCCTCACTTAAAAAAACAAAAACAACTCGAGTCTTGGGCTGGTGACAGTCCTGATTATTTCACAGACACTGCAGCATACCTTTTAATAATACCACATAAAAGTGTTGTGTCAATGTACATTTTGTTGTTTTTTGATTGTTGTTGTCAATGTGTTGATGTCTATAAAGGGAATAAATGTTGTGAATATATTTTTGCCATCCTATTTCCCATTGTTATATAATGCATTTTTTGCCTTATTTATGTTCTCACCAGCAAGGAGAAAGTTTTGAGGTTAGTTGTCCTGGCGTGGTTGTGGGAAATCATTTCCATTGGGTATGGATCTGCTTTTTTATTCAAAGTCTTTGTGGTGCTTCTCAAATATATTGACACATACCCCAGTATAATGGCAAATGTCTGTTTTGTTGTTTTTTTTAAATTATAAAAATATTAATCATTTATGGAGAAGGGTCAACTATGTGGATTTAAGAATACATAATCTGACATTAACCGTATGGGAAAGACTTCTGTGATGCAATGTTTGTAGTACTACTAAAATAATGGATAGTACATAAGGTACTGCGTTCAAGTCATGTAAAGTACATTAATAGTGGAACAAGATATATTTAGGCTTCATAAGAAAAGACAAGACATGTAAGAAGCATCAGCTTAATTGTCCTGTCTTCTTATGTTCAAGGCTAAACATATCTTGTTCCACTGTTAACTAGCTGAAATAAAAAATTGTTAAGAATAAAATATGTATATTGTTATATCACTTCCTTTAAACTCGCATTGGTGTTTTACACTTAAAAATTTTAAGTCAGACTGTAACACTGTTAAGGTGAAAAGAAACAGACAAGATTGTTTCAAGATAGAGTTGATGTTATTCACTTGACTCTGTTAGCCTTATATATAGTAATACCACAGATATTGCAGGGTTATGTCCCAAGACACCCTCCATGCTTGAAATGCAACAAACTATGAAGTAGGATTTATAAATAATTTGAAGCTTAATATTTGTTTAATAAGTTTTAATTAAAAATTATATTTATATTATTTTCATATATTTTAGGCTAGAAAATGCTTATTTTACTGCAGATAATTAAAACAACAAATAAATAAAAATATGTGTAATGTATACCGCAAAAATCCCGCAAAATAGTGAAAAAAATCTGCAGAACTTGTCCTATGAGAAAACATGCAAAAGAGTGAGGATTCAAAATATGAACCCTGGGTTATTGCTGTACTACAACTGGCATAAAGAATTTAGTTAAAGAATCAGTTTCTAATGGACGGACCTGACTTGTCGTGTTTGGTCTTGAAGTATGTATTGCTTCCAATAGCTCTCACCTGACTTGTCATGTTTGGTCTTGGAGTATATCTCGCTTCCAATAGCTCTCACCTGCTACCACCCATTGCTGCTAGGATGTTGTTGACAAGTAATTTAATATGCTTACCTTGTGTGGCACAATTACAATGGGTGGGCCCCCAGCTAAATCCTCCTCTATAAAACATAAAGTTTATTTGGGTTCTATGTTCATTTCTAAAAGCTGCACCTATGTATGATATATTTTAAATTCATTTTAAAAAGATAATTTCTTTTAAAAAGTACTTTTGTATTTGTGGTGTGTGATATAACAATTCAATTGTGAAATGTGATACAACAATTTAGAAATGTGATACAACAATTAAGAAATCTTAAACTAACTTAATGCTAAAATGCAGCAGCTGAGATCTGATTTTTTTTTTACTACACAAAATAATCACCAGGATGTGCACAAATATTTTTGTTGGTACTTTTTATGTGAGATCTCTGGATCATGTTAGTCGGGTCCATCTAGCCGACCTCTCTCCCCTGAAGTTAGTTATGCCACTGATTGTCATCACTTAATCTGTGATTTGCTGTGATAACCCTTGAATGTATGTAATCAAGATTCTTTATAACAACTATACCTTGACCCTGTGTGCTCCTCTTGCAAGTAACAACCTTGTACAGATTGTAGGACCCTGAAAACAATTAAAAGCTCAACTCCCCCCTCCCCTTCTCACCTTCCCCCCTCCCCCTTCTCACCTTCTACACCCCCTACCCAAAACAAAACCTAATGAAGACTATTCAAAGCATACATTTGAAGTTAATGATAATAAAAAAATTTTTATTCTATGACTGTGTAATGAGGGTTAATGTTCCTGACACTGTGTAATGAGAGTTAGTGTTCCTGACTTACATAAAGTTTGTTATGAAAGCTTCAGCTTATCATAGTATTTTACTTATAGTGGCCTGCATTGATATGTTTCAGAAATAAATGTAATTAACTTTATGCGCTGAAATACAATTAATGAGCATCTTGGTGGTTTCTTTCTCACTTTGTTACCGTTGAAACCAAGTCATATCTTGTCCACTTGGTTCACAATCTGTTGACACGCATTAGTTGGTCCTCGTGGTTCACAAACTGTTGACAACCATTAGTAGGTCCACTTGGTTCACATCTGTTGACAAGCATTAGTAGTAGCATCTTGTCTGTGCATTTCACACAACATGCTTGGTGAATCTCCAGAATGGCAACCAATGACGGTATGATTAAATCATATTTTGGATTTAACCGGGCATTCACCTAGATTATTTATATTAGGTTTTAGCCGGGTGCTGACCTGGCTAAATGAAGGTGCAGAGCATTATCACACCCGGCACATACTCGGACCATCCAAAAAAACTGGAACTGGGTCCGGGCATTCTTCTTGTTTTCTATAATGTGTTCCACCAAATGGGGAAAAGTGACTGGGACCCACTCGGTATTGTCTCAAAATTCATGGACCTGAATTGTAAAATAAAAATGCCCCCAGCTCAGCCCTAACATATTTATAGCTCTTATAATGTCTGAATGCCTAGTTGTCTCACATGATCCATATTCCTGACATGTTTATGTTGGCAAGGTTTGCCGTAACATAAATAAGTAAAACAGGTTTTGTTAAAGTGCCTTCTATTTTTATTCAATCATGTTTAAAAATAACTTAGACCCAGGTCCAATCAGTTCCATTCTACTGACGATTGTACATAGCAAGCAGTTTTAAAATGAACATATACATTTAAATATGAAGTACTAAATAGTTTTAAAATGAACATTTAAATATGAAGTACTAAATAGTTTTAAAATGAACATTTAAATATGAAGTACTAAATAGTTTTAAAATGAACATTTAAATATTAAGGACTTGTCCCCTCCTTTTTTTTTATTTGTAGGTCTAAAGTGCTGTAAAATTGTGTAAGACTTATAAATACAAACATCACTATCAGACTAATTCTAACCAAACCAAAGTGGAACTGCTCTTTTTGGAAGTGTTTATTTTTAAAATCATTGTGAAAACATTTAATCATTGTGACAACTTTTAATCATTATGATAACATTTAATCGTTGTGACAACTTTTAATCATGATGAAAGCATTTAATCATTGTACTTTCTTGTCCTACCATTTTACCAACAAACATTATGTTGATCTCCCCAATAAAGTCTTCTCCAAAAATGCTCTATCAAATGTTCAAAAGTCCCTACGTGTCAGCCTAATCCTATTTACAGCCTTGCTATTTATTCATGTGTTCAGTAGGTCAAGTCATCTTGATTAAATTAATTGGTTCTTTATGAACTTCTTTTCTTTTAGTCCTATGATCAATCAGTAGTGTGTGCCACATAATTGTTCAAAACATTCAATTTAACACAAAGTTGTGCTGTACTGAATTAGTAACTGTGTTTTAGTATATTTAAACTCTTATTGGATTTTAATACTAAAAATAAATGAAAGTGTAACCCTTTAATTTGTGTGTGTGTGTGTGGGTTTGTGGTGTAGGGTAGTGTGGTGGGTGTGTGGTTTGTGTGCATGGTGTGTATTGCAGACCTGTTTACCCTCAAACTCTTAAAATCGTACAATATCTTCGTTCAATCGTTCTCTTTATTGAAAAAAGAAACGTTGAGTATATATAATGTATACGCCTACACCTTAAAATCGTACATTGTACGCCAAAATCGTAAGAGTAAACAGGTCTGGTGTTGTATGTGTGGTTTTTGTGGGGGTGATCTGGGTGTGTGCATGGTATGGGTGGCTGAGTGGTGTGGTGGGTGGATGGGAAGTGATTGTGTGGGATGGCCAGTCTGTTGGGGTTTGGTGAGCTGTGTGTGGAAGTGTGTTTTTGTGGGTGGTATGTGTGTGGTGGGCTGTGTGGGGGTGGAGTGGTGGGGTGTGATAGTGTGGGGACAGGTGGTGGTTTGTTAATGGGTGGGGGGCATGGTGGTGTGTGTGATGGGTGGGGGGGTGTATTTTTATGGGTGTGTGTATGGGGGTAGTGGGGCGTTGATAGTATTGGGTGGTGTGGGTGGTTGTGGGATGGTGGGGATCTTGGCTTTGGTGGGTGCGGTGGTTTGTGTATAATATCACTAACACCATTTTCTTTCATTTCTATTATTTTGTTTAAATTTAATTAAATATGTTACTTAAAATATAAAGATTGATTTCTGAAAATTCATTTACTTAAAGCTAGACACATCACCATAAGTGTAACAATAAGTTTTCATACATTTTGCTAATGTCTATTTATTGTTATAGTTTCAAACGTAGCCCCAAGGTTTTGTAAACTTAAATCTTGAAATGTTACTTGAGCAAATTTGTCTACATGCAATTCTAACAGCAGTTATGATAAGGGACATGGAATAGTTCACACATTAGCTCATTCTTTGTTTGTTGATAGACATGTAACATTATAGGAAATTAATTATTTTTTTAAATGTTCAGGTGCGCAATATCATTATGTCTGTTTGTAGAGCCTTTCAAATGCCTTGAGGCTTGTACTACGTGTCAGTGAAATTAACTTTTTTTAAAAAAACATTTATCGGAATATCATATTTAATATGCCCCCCATCCCCTCAGATTTGATTTAATCTAATTAATAAAAAAAAATAGTGCTGTATTTTGACCATGTATTTTCTATTGTCTATCCATAGGACCTGCCTGTCGACCAGGAGTGCCATACGTTCAACACCAGCTGTCTCACACAGTTCAGGGTGCTTTTTATACGCACGTTCATGTCCATAGTCCGAGATGCTGTAAGTAAGACATCATTACACCATGTTCGACACCCAAGGTTGTTTTTTCATAAAAATATTTAACTCTAAGTATCTGCGGACTAAGTTCCACACAAAAAAATTCCCATAAAAGTCATTGTTGAGAATCACCAGGAATATTGTAATTTTCACTCTGTATAATGACATTTGACTGCTGATTGATTGATGCCTGTTAAAACATAACAATTCTATTTAATGTTCTGAAGTCGTGATTGTAAAATTGTTGATTATCTTTGAATGATAACATTTTTGGGATACTCAATTATATTATGTTGTTTTTTTGTGTGTATTTTTTTTTAATTTCTTATCTTTATGTGTTGAAGAGTTGACTAAATGGAGGAATAAACACATGTTAAGTATTTAAGTACAGCCAGTGTAGTGTACAAGGGAAGCTTGGTACAGCCAGTGTAGTGTACAAGGGAAGCTTGGTAAGCCAGTGTAGTGTACAAGGGAAGCTTGGTACAGCCAGTGTAGTGTACAAGGGAAGCTTGGTACAGCCAGTGTAGTGTACAAGGGAAAGTTTGGTACAGCCAGTGTAGTGTACAAGGGAAAGTTTGGTACAGCCAGTGTAGTGTACAAGGGAAGCTTGGTAAGCCAGTGTAGTGTACAAGGGAAGCTTGGTACAGCCAGTGTCATGTACAAGGGAAGCTTGGTACAGCCAGTGTCATGTACAAGGGAAGCTTGTTACAACCAGTGTCATGTACAAGGGAAGCTTGGTACAGCCAGTGTGGTGTACAAGGGAAGCTTGTTACAGCCAGTGTGGTGTACAAGGGAAGCTTGTTTGCATGTGTGTTAGATGGGGGAATGTTGGCAAGAGCAAGGACCATTAAGAAAGAAACTGTCCTGCATAATAAATGATGGTCACTAATTCTCTGACGTCATTCCTCTAGCTCTAACTATTTATGTATCTCCTCCACAGACATTAACCCGCCTGCGTCTCATCTCCCATCTGACTGTGGGAATTCTCATCGGCCTGCTGTACCTGGGTATAGGGAACGAGGCCAGCAAGGTTTTCAACAACGCAGGCTGTCTCTTCTTTTGTATGCTCTTCCTGATGTTCACGGCCCTCATGCCGACTGTCTTGACCTGTAAGTACCAGTTGACTGATACTCTTTGCCTACTGACCCAGTCTTGACCTGTAATTACCAGTTGACTGATCCTCTTTGCCTACTGACCCAGTTTTGACCTGTAAGTACCAGTTGACTGATCCTCTTTGCCTACTGACCCAGTCTTGACCTGTAAGTACCAGTTGACTGATCCTCTTTGCCTACTGACCCAGTTTTGACCTGTAAGTACCAGTTGACTGATCCTCTTTGCCTACTGACCCAGTCTTGACCTGTAAGTACCAGTTGACTGATCCTCTTTGCCTACTGACCCAGTTCTGACCTGTATGTACCAGTTGACTGATCCTCTTTGCCTACTGACCCAGTCTTGACCTGTAAGCACCAGTTGACTGATCCTCTTTGCCTACTGACCCAGTTTTGACCTGTATGTACCAGTTGACTGATCCTCTTTGCCTACTGACCCAGTTTTGATGTGTAAGTACCAGTTGACTGATCCTCTTTGCCTACTGACCCAGTCTTGACCTGTAAGTTCCAGTTGACTGATCCTCTTTGCCTACTGACCCAGTTTTGAACTGTAAGTACCAGTTGACTGATCCTCTTTGCCTACTGACCCAGTTTTGACCTGTAAGTGTCAGTTGACTGATCCTCTTTGCCTACTGACCCAGTTTTTACCTGTAAGTACCAGTTGACTCATCCTCTTTGCCTACTGACCCAGTTTTGGTCTGCGTTTGGACTGACTTCAGTTGAAAAAATAATGGAGGAAACTATCACTTAGAAATAATAGCCAGATAGATTTGTTTCATATTAATCTCAAAGGAAATATTAGCCAGATAGATTTGTTTCATATTAATCTCAAATGAAAAGGAAATGAAAGAAAATAAAGTGGCAAGACAAATGTCAAACATCAATAGAAAACACTGGCATTTAATAGTATAAAACACTGGCATTTAATAGTATAAAACACTGGCATTTAATAGTATAAAAAACACTGGCATTTAATAGTATAAAAAACACTGGCATTTAATAGTATAAAAAACACTGGCATTTAATAGTATAAAAAACACTGGCATTTAATAGTATAAAACACTGGCATTTAATAGTATAAAAAACACTGGCATTTAATAGTATAAAACACTGGCATTTAATAGTATAAAAAACACTGGCATTTAATAGTATAAAACACTGGCATTCAAAAAGTATTTAAAAATTGCATTTAATAGTATAAAACACTGGCATTTAATAATATAAAACACTGGCATTTAATAGTATAAAACACTGGCATTTAATAGTATAAAAAACACTGGCATTTAATAGTATAAAACACTGGCATTTAATAGTATAAAAAACACTGGCATTTAATAGTATAAAACACTGCCATTCAAAAAGTATTTAAAAATTGCATTAAATAGTATCAATAAATTGAATTCTTTGTCATTGTAGAATAGATTGTGTGAACAATTCTAGAACTGCACATTTCATGTCACCAAAAATAGCAGATGTAAATGTGTTATTAAATATGTCCAACTGTCTCCAGTCCCAATTGAGATGACTGTGTTTGTCAGAGAACATCTCAACTATTGGTACAGTCTCAAGGCCTACTACCTGGCCAAGACCATGGCGGACATGCCCTTTCAGGTCTGTTGAATTGTTGAAGTCTTGTACAACAGAACTGTATCAGAATCATTTTCTAACAACAAACTTGAGCTGGGTGACTTGTGACAACAGTGTCCATGTCACAGAACAACAGCACTCAATCACTAGTAAAGCACCCAAACAGATGAATAACAGCACTCAATCACTAGTACAGCACCCAAAAGGATGCACAACAGCACTCAATCACTAGTACATCACCCAAACAGATGAACAACAGCACTCAATCATTAGTACAGCACCCAAAAGGATGCACAACAGCACTGAATCACTAGTACATCACCCAAACAGATGAACAACAGCACTCAATCACTAGTACATCACCCAAACAGATGAACAACAATACTCAATCACTAGTACAGCACCCAAACAGATGAACAACAGCACTCAATCACTAGTACAGCACCTAAAAGGATGCACAACAGCACTCATACAGCTGTGCATTATTATCCGGGCAGCAGTACAACAGCTCTTTGAATTTTCAGATCATATTTTCCCTGGTGTATGGGAGCATTGTGTACTGGATGACCTCTCAGCCCAACGACTTTGTCAGGTTTGTCATGTTCCTGACACTGTCGACGCAGACGTCACTGGTGGCACAGAGTTTGGGCCTTTTGATAGGGGCTGCAACGTCTCTGCAGGTGGGGACTATTATTATTTTGAAAAAGATTGTTTTGGCACATCTGCCTTATTACCGGTAGTAGGAAGTAGGTCTCATGATATCTGGAAGTAGGTATCATATCTGGAAGTAGATCTCATTATATCTGGAAGTAGGTCTCATTATATCTGGAATTACCCAAAGCTGTGTCAAATATTTTTGTTTGTGCATTACAAACATGAAGGAAATGGTAATCACCTGTGATTGTAGTGAGCAATTAAAACCATAAATAAGACCAGGCAATCCAGGACAAGACACATGATGAAATTGTTTGTTCCAAAAACATTTTCAAACATTCCAACTTTTTTAATACATTCATTTCCACTCTTACAATTTTCTGCTGTAGTAATGATTACCACTTTTCCCGCCACATGTAATATGTTTATAAGGATCTGTTTCCAGATTTTTTTATATGTGATCTTAATTTATATGATCTTAGGAATCACATACATTGTGCATAGTTTAATATGTGGTAGTAATATCATGTTTCCATTGTCACAACAGGTTGCCGTGTTCCTAGGGCCAGTTACGGCCATCCCCATTCTGTTGTTTAGTGGATTCTTTGTCAACTTTGACACCATCCCAGCATATCTACAGTGGCTGTCCTATATCTCTTATGTCAGGTATTCAAGTCAAATCTGCCCCATCAGTCCGCTAAATACAGTGTGAATCAATTCCATCAGTCTGTCAGCCACAGAGTAAATCAGATCCAGCCTTGGGCTCCCTCAATCACATTAGTATAAATTAGCTACCAATCAATCACGTTAGTGTAAGATCATTACATAAATCACAATAGTGTTAATTAGCTCCATCAATAACATTTGTGTAACATAGTTACATAGATCACAGTGTAAATCAGCTCCATCAGTCTCAAATAGTTTCTCAATATAATCAAATATTTTTATTTAGAATAAAGCACCCAAGCATTGATTACAGTGCTACACAATGTCAGCTAGAAATAATGTACAATTAAAATCCGATTATATTCTCTTTCCCTTGTTTCCAGATACTCATTTGAAGGTACCCTGCAAGCCATCTACGGATCCGATCGGGGTGACCTTGACTGCGATGAAAACCAGTGCATTTTTCGGCAGGGCACGGACGTCCTCAAAGAGCTGGACGTGGAGGATGCCAAATTTTACATAGACTTTATCGTGCTCTGCTGTTTCTTTGTGGTGCTGAGGGCCGGCTGCTACTTGGTCTTACGGTGGAGGGTCAAAGCACAGAGATGAGGACAGCCCGCCGGGGCTCTGTTAGGTTTATTCAATGTTTACATCACAACCGGGTATTACTTCGTTTAGCGCTGCTGGGCTGTACTTGGCTGTGTCCAAGTTAATTGACCTGCTTACGGACACAAGTTTTCATTACTCATCATAGTATTCAACTGGTGGATTTATTCGCAGGCAGAACATGGCCTGGAATTTCATTGTGCTACTCTCTAAGGAGGATTATTTAAGGAGTGAGTTATTGGATATCAATATTTCTGTGCGTGTTCATTGCAGATTTTCAGAATTAAACATGTTTATGGGAAATGGAGAATGAAATTTTCTCTAGAGGCATGAGATCGTAGCGACTGTTGTAGTAGTAAAATAGACTACCGTTCGACTGATACAAAACCTTACTGGCAATGTCTTCACTGAAGATCCATTAGAACCCGCTGGTTAACTCTAGTGGTCCACTCTTGTACACATTTTTACTTTTGGCCTAGGCAATCAACACCATTATGTGGACACGGTGTACAATCATTGTACATTGTCAATGAAAGGTCATGAGAAAATTTCAACTAATTATGAAACAATTCTTGGAGATAAAGAAAAAAGACAAACAGTTTATTCTGGACTCAACTTTTTGCGTCTGATTGTGGAATTACAGAGTATATGTGGAATCACAGAGTATGTGCTTTTTAATGACTCAAGTTAAAAAAATATGTTTTATTATCGTTAAATTCTTAATGGAAGGGATGATAATCAAATTTGTTTTTATACATGGATTCCCTTATCTATGGACTACAGTTGTTGTATGTATGATTTGCAAGGCTTTCAACAATTGTTATTGTTGTACTGTTGCTGTGAAGACTGACAGAGCACAAAACTAGTATTGATTGCTGATGGATATTATCACTTCAGGACTATAGTCCCTTTCCTTTATACCCCTGTAAATGTATGTTGTCATTGAACAATTTCAATGTCAACTAATTGACTTCCTGTTCATGGATAGCTCTCCATACTATTACAATTTTATTTTGCAACTGACTTCTGTGGATGTGTTTTTGTACGTGTATTTCTATGTCACAAGAGCTGATTCTAAAACTTGACCATTCAGGATTTGTCACAAGAGCTGATTCTAAAACTTGACCATTCAGGATTTGTCACAAGAGCTGATTCTAAAACTTGACCATTCAGGATTTGTCACAAGAGCTGATTCTAAAACTTGACCATTCAGGATTTGTCACAAGAGCTGATTCTAAAACTTGACCATTCAGGATTTGTCACAAGAGCTGATTCTAAAACTTGACCATTCAGGATTTGTCACAAGAGCTGATTCTAAAACTTGACCATTCAGGATTTGTCACAAGAGCTGATTCTAAAACTTGACAATTCAGGATTTCACAGAGGCACAGGTTTAATAACAAAAAATATTTATTTGCCTTCTTCAGAATTGTTGTTTTTTTCTCTGTGGATCCACTATCATTGATAGTACAAGACAAAATTGTATGTCTTCAAATAGACAAGACAATCAAGATACAAGTCCAACTCAGACATTTGTGCAATGATTGTTTTCCCCTGTACAGAAATGTTCAATGACTGGCATGTCCTGGACTGTCCAATGTTGTAGTCTAATATATGACACAACCATAGCTGACTGTACCAGAAGCACCAATGTCTGTGGTATGTCTTGGACTGTCAAATGTTGTAGTCTAATATATGACACGACCATAGCTGACTGTACCAGAAGCACCAATGTCTGTGTCATGTCCTGGACTGTCCAATGTTGTAGTCTAATATATGACACGACCATAGCTGACTGTACCAGTAGCACCAATGTCTGTGGCATGTCCTGGACTGTCCAATGTTGTAGTCTAATATATGACACGACCATAGCTGACTGTACCAGTAGCACCAATGTCTGTGGCATGTCCTGGACTGTCCAGTGTTGTAGTCTAATATATGACACGACCATAGCTGACTGTACCAGTAGCACCAATGTCTGTGGCATGTCCTGGACTGTCCAGTGTTGTAGTCTAATATATGACACGACCATAGCTGACTGTACCAGTAGCACCAATGTCTGTGGCATGTCCTGGACTGTCCAGTGTTGTAGTCTAATATATGACATGACCATAGCTGACTGTACCAGTAGCACCAATGTCTGTGGCATGTCCTGGACTGTCCAGTGTTGTAGTCTAATATATGACACGACCATAGCTGACTGTACCAGTAGCACCAATGTCTGTGGCATGTCCTGGACTGTCACTTGTTGCAGTCTAGTCACATGACTGGTTTAAAGGCTCCCTAGCTGCTGATGGCCCTCTCATGTCCCGACATTGATCATTTTGTTAGCCACTGTTAGCCGAAAGTGTTATGTACATGTTTTGTGGACATCAAAGAAATGTCAAAGTAAAACTCCAATGTGTTCATATTTCTTGAATGTCTCTCACTTTGTCTGCCAGATTTCCTCACATCACCATCCAATAAAACTGATGACCAGAAGTGGAAGAATAAAAAGTTGTTTTTGGGGTTTTGTTTTAATTTTTTTTTTTAAATGTATTCTCAATGACCCAGAAGCAAGCACGACCAAAGATGAACAAGAAATAAAAATGATTTTATTGAATGCTTCTTAAAAATCCATCAGTCCAGTCCATATTCTTTGAGTCCTCCCTGGCCAACTGGTGTCTGAGGCCAACTGGTGTCCCTGGCCAACTGGTGTCTGAGGCCAACTGGTGTCCCTGGCCAACTGGTGTCCGAGGCCAACTGGTGTCCGAGGCCAACTGGTGTCTGAGGCCAACTGGTGTCTGAGGCCAACTGGTGTCTGAGGCCAACTGGTGTCCCTGGCCAACTGGTGTCCCTGACCAACTGGTGTCCCTGGCCAACTGGTGTCTGAGGCCAACTGGTGTCCCTGGCCAACTGGTGTCCGAGGCCAACTGGTGTCCCTGGCCAACTGGTGTCTGAGGCCAACTGGTGTCCATGGCCAACTGGGGTCCCTGGCCAACTGGTGTCTGAGGCCAACTGGTGTCCCTGGCCAACTGGTGTCTGAGGCCAACTGGTGTCCCTGGCCAACTGGTGTCTCAGGCCAACTGGTGTCTGTGGCCAACTGGTGTCTCTGGCCAACTGGTGTCTGAGGCCAACTGGTGTCCCTGGCCAACTGGTGTCTGAGGCCAACTGGTGTCCGAGGCCAACTGGTGTCCCTGGCCAACTGGTGTCTGAGGCCAACTGGTGTCCCTGGCCAACTGGTGTCTGAGGCCAACTGGTGTCCCTGGCCAACTGGTGTCCCTGGCCAACTGGTGTCTGAGGCCAACTGGTGTCTGAGGCCAACTGGTGTCCCTGGCCAACTGGTGTCTGAGGCACTGGTCAAGGACCACCTCGGTCGTCTGCTTCTGAATGAGATTTCTGCTTCTAAATGAGATGTCTGCGTCTAATTGAGATGTCTGCGTCTAATTGAGATGTCTGCATCTAAATGAGATTTCTGCTTCTAAATGAGATTTCTGCTTCTAATTGAGATGCCTGCTTCTAATTGAGATTTCTGCTTCTAATTGAGATTTCTGCTTCTAATTGAGATGTCTGCTTCTAATTGAGATTTCTGCTTCTAAATGAGATTTCTGCTTCTAATTGAGATGTCTGCTTCTAATTGAGATGTCTGCTTCTAAATGAGATGTCTGCTTCTAATTGAGATTTCTGCTTCTAATTGAGATGTCTGCTTCTAATTGAGATGTCTGCTTCTAATTGAGATGTCTGCTCCTAATTGAGATGTCTGCTTCTAAATGAGATTTCTGCTTCTAATTGAGATGTCTGCTTCCATGAAAAAAAACCTGACAATTCTACTGTGACTGCCACTTTATATAAGAAAAAAACTAGTCTAAGCTCTGTCACCCAGTACTAAGATTCTTCTATTTCCACTAATGTAAGTATTTATCTGAGAGAGTCTCACATTAGCAATTAAAGGAGCTTATTTCAACGGGTTAAGAAGCACTGGGATAGAACTCCATGGTCTTTCTTTAATGAGACCTCAAACTAGGTCACATGTCCTATCTTCGGGAATATCTTCCTACTCTGAATGCAGTCTCTGGTTGTGTGTGTTTGGTGAGTACAGTTTAAACTCCTACCCTGTGTTTAAGTTGGTCAAGTGCTTGTGCTGTTACTATTCAGTTTCACATAGTGCATTAACCAAACATTTCTTCTCCTCCTCTGAAAGTTTTCTCATATAAATCACCTTCCTTGATTTCATGGCGGTCTGTTTGAAATAGTTTTATGATAGAATATGACAGACCCACGTAGGATTTCTTACTCGATAATAATTCATTTTTGCCAATTATAAGCAGAATGTAGAGGTTTTTTGTGTGTGTCTGTTGAAGTAGTTTAACCAGAACAGCCTTGGGAAAAGTTTTGCATTTTAAGAATTCCATTTCTCCAGTCTATTTCACTTGGACTGCATACATCATTTTGTGTAGTTGAATATGTAACTTTTGGAAACTCCATGGATTAGTATTGGACCATATGAATTGACTTTGAACTGCATGGATTAACATTTTGCCAGTCAAAAATGTATCTCTTGTGATTTCAAATCATCACCAGATTAACTTGGTGCCTGTAATCTTACCATCGTCACGACTGTTAATCCAATAAAACGTTGTCTTCTTATTTGTCCTTTTTCAACTCGCAGCGGAACATAGGCCGTTAACATTACCTCCCCACTCCTTCCTCTCCCTTGAACTTTCTTGTCTAACCCATTCCACCTATTTCCGTTCTTTAAGTGCATCTTTTTCTATTCCTCAATGCCAGGGGTTTTTTGTGTGTGTGTCTCCCTGGTCCTCCAGTTCCTCACCAGTGCATGCCTAGGTATATTGGTTTTAATTGTCGTATGACCTATTCGTTACAAAACTCTGTTACACTGACAGCATGAAAAGAAACAAGCTCAGTCATGTTGCTTTATTGAAAAGATCTGTTTTGGTGTCAAAGATATGAGCATGTTGATAATGTCATCACATTAGTTTTTGTGGGGGGGGGGGCATTCAGATTTTTCGGGGGGGGGGCAGGGCCGGTTGATTCATAGTTGGAAATATTTTTTGGGGGGGGGGGGGGGGGCAGAGCCCCCCTCTCCCCCAAGATAATGCTGAAAGAAACCCTGGTCGAGTGTGCAGTTGGCCCGTGAACTACTGTTTGATAGTTAATGCGGCCCTCGGGCTGAAAAGTTTGGAGACCCCTGATCTAACAGGATAGATAAAATTATAAATTATAGGACAGGCCTTGTCTGTTACATGGTTTTCGATCGATTAAACCCAATCTAGGATACAATTATAGTTGCACCATTGTCTCTTGTGATGTAAGTCACCATTATTTGGTCTCAGATTTGCATGTGCTAATCGATTGCATTTGACTTTAAATAAAACCCTATACCATAATAATGTTGTTGAAATGTTGTGTACTTCTAGTCAGTCAAGGGACGGGTGTGAAGTTGGGCACAGATTTAAAAAAATTATTTCTAAATGCGAAGTTATGGAATTTAAAACCTGCACAGCATAAGACTTGGGTAATACTTCAAGAATGAGATTTTGGTCATGTGTTCATTGAAAAGGGTCTGTTTGTTTTAGAATCAATGTAACTTGTAAAGAACTGAGGATTATAAATGTCTCTTTTGTGAGCTATTTTTTACAATTTTCATTAATTTTACTCCCTT